GGGACCGGCAACGGGATCGCAACCCTCGGTGCTGCTCCCGCGCCTCGCTCAGCCAGTGAGCGGGAACCGGTCTGTATGTGGGATCCGAACCCTCGGGCGGGAGCGCCGCCGCGCTTCCCAAGCAGCGCACTATCTAGTGCGCCACCAGGCCGGCCCCAGATGGAGATTTTGATTACAAAAAATGATCAGTGATGGCTATTGCTGTCTTGAAATGCTTGAAAATTTTATCTTTGAACTTGTGCTTTGTGAGTGAGGTCCACTGAGACCATGGAGCCTGCACAGGAGCCGGGGAGTATGCACACTGTGCGTCCGCTGCCATTCCACATAGAGTCCACAGTGCACCATGAACTGAGAATTCCCTGTAGATCCCTGATCTACAAGCCAGCAAGACTCAAAGTGAGTACCAGCTAAGCGTGTTCCTGACTAAGCTGGGTGTTGACACCCCCAAGGAGCCACACTTTCCCTTAGAACTTGAACTTGCTTCCAATGAAGAATGAATGCAACAGTATTTTAAGAAACATGAAGGAACCTGTCATGTCCTTTGTTATTCATGTTTCTTCTTTATATTAGCCATCTGATTTATGCTGACGAGGATGACATACAAGAGAAAAATAAGCCAATCCATAGTTACTTTTCCTTTCAGTCTTCCCTTACTCATCAATAAGTCTCATGTAGATAGTATTGGTAGATCATGTCCATATAAACAAGTGTAATTAAAACACTTGAGTACATTTTGTGCAGCATTTCTGTGGTTCTGACAAAAACAATACATATGCACACGAGCTATGAAATGTAAATTGTTATTTCCGTGATTCCACATGAGTTAAGTGCACTAATGTTTGTATTTAAAACCAGCATTGCACAACATAAAGATGGATGGTAAAATCCATCCTAATAATTTTACAATTTTAAATTTTCTTTACTTAAAATAACAAACAGCAAATAAAACACTATGGAAAGTTAAGGGAGACACTGAGGAGAAAGGAAAAAGCTTTGTATTTTATTGCTTTAATGGCACTCACCCCTCATCCCTCCACCCTGTTTTTTTTTTTAACAAGGGACCCCGCCTTTTTAATTTGCTCTGGGTCCCACAAATTAGGTAGCGAGTCATGCAGCAAGGAACAAATCAAAGCGTCTTCCCTGGTGGTCTGGTGAGAGGCAGTAAGGAACAAATATGCAAATAAACACACAATATAATATTCCTTAACAATAAGTACTGCACAGAAGACGAAAGAGGCCAGGATGGCCAGAGCAAATAGGAGAGGATCTGGAAATTAGATTATATAAGCTTTGAGCAATGGTAAGGACTTTGGATTTTAGCTGTTTGAACCGAAGAGTATCAAGATCCGACTTATGCTTCAGAAAAAAATCCCTTTGGCTGCTGTGCAGAGAATAGGCTGGAAGGAAGCAGGAGTGGGAGTCAGCAAACAGCTTAAGTTCAGGCAACGTCAGTGTCCAGGCTGGAGAAGCTTCACTCCGGATTTGGGGTGCAAGAGGGGGCTCCGGCTGGAAGGACAGCGCTGCGGTGTACTGAGATGCGGAGGGTTGGCCTGTGTGTGCAAAGCCACAGGGCAGGTGTGCCAGGCCGTAGCCCCAGAGCTCTGCACAGTGCCCTGCACGTAGTAGGTGCTCAGGATAGGGTGGCAAGTCCCAAACAAATTTTGAGTCTGTAAGTTCGCATGTGCACTAGGCCTCAAAGTGGAGACGTCAGACAGCGACCCTGCCCTGAGCACCTACTACGTGCAGGGCACTGTGCGGAGCCTTGGGGCTAATGCCTCTGCCAGGACAGAGGAGCCCCCGCAGGGTTCACTGTGCTCCAACACCGGAAGGTTCAAAAGAAATGTCCTACTGCGCTTGCACAGCAACTTGTGTTCTTGAAAACGCATTATTTTTCTGTGCACTGGGGACCTTCAGAAGGAGCTGTGATATACGCACGAAACTGGCCTCGCGTAGCGAAAGCAGCTTCCTGCCAGACCGGGCAGGTCCTCCAGAGCACCGAGACGGCCAGCCAGAGCGCCAGCGACGCCCTCCGTGCCGCCGCCGCCGGCGCGCCTGCGCACGGGCCCTCGTCGGCGGCGCCGGCTCTGTGCGTCATCGCGGGCGCGACGCCCCGAGGGATGGTCAAGGGGCTGGCTGGCTGCGAGGTGCGGCGGCGAGACCTGCCGGGAAGATGCCAGTGGCCGTGATGGCGGGAAGTGCCTTCAGTTTCAAAAAGTTGCTGGATCAGTGCGAGAACCAAGAGCTCGAGGTAGCCATTTGCGTCGCGCTGGGAGAAACTGCGGGGTCGCCCCTGGCCCGGGGACGCCACCGGTTTCCAGGGTAACGGGACCTGGGGCCCGCTGGGTTGGGTCGCGCGCGCTGCACGGAGGCTGGACTCCTGGAGCCCGGGCCGCCGCGGCCTGCTCCGACGGCGAAGGGTCCCTGCCCTCCCTCCCCGAACTCACTGGGGGGGTTTGTTATTTGACTTGAGCGTGTGAGCCCGAAGAGCCTGTGCATCTTTGCTCCAACACCACCAATATGCTTCTCCTGTCAATTAGACTAGACGGCTTTCCTTCCCACTGTCAGGGTGGCAGGGGGCGGGAAGGTGGGTTTTATCACAGACCTTTGTGCAGGCACACACCCATACACACAGAGAACGAGAAAATGTAACCATGGCAACCTTTTCTTAACCCAGCCTTTCTTAGTCTTGTAATATTATCAACCTTGTCATTTTGTCTTTAGTAAGACAGATGAATGTTATGGAGCTATTAAAATTAAGATTTTCTTGGAAAGGCACTTAAAAAGCATTTATAACATTAGTATCAAAAGCTCATTAACTAAAGGAAACAACAGATAGAGGAAGCAGGTCACTGATAGAGACGCTTAGTAGATGTTTTCTGAGTGAATTTTAATTGAATGAGGAGAGAAATGTCTTTATAACTCAACTGTGGTGTTTTTCTGTACCTCATTCATTTTCTTAGCTATTCAGCATGTTTGGTATAATGGGAAGAATCATAATGCTTTAGGAATCTGTTGAAAGTATTTGTTTCTCATAATAGTAAGATATTTAATTGAGAATTTGAGAACTGGGAAAGGGACTCCGTTTAAATATTCTGGTATTTGTAAAGAAACTGATGCCCAAAGGGAGATGAATCCCAGCTGATGACAGATGTTAACTCACTACTCTGAATGTTAGTGTTTGCTGCTTCTCTAAGCTCTTTCTGCATCTGTAGTACTATAAGACAGGCTTACCTTTTAGATTAGCATTAATGAAATATTATTTTTTTAAGTCAAAGGATAAGAATGAGGTTTTTCTCTTTCATTTTTGGCCTTCTAGGCTCCTGGAGGAATTGCTACACCCCCAGTGTATGGTCAGCTTCTAGCTTTGTATTTGCTCCATAATGATATGTAAGTACCTTTTACCTAAAACTAAGAGCTGCAGGTTTCTTAAGGTTATACAGAAATTATTCTACATTGAAATAGCACCACTAAAACTTAGGCACAATGAGCTGTATCTTTTATTGTAATGTCAATCACATCTCTTTCCTGTTGAACCTTAACAGTGAATTATGATTCGGCTGTTAACTTAAAATACAGTTGCTTTACATATACATCCTAAAAAACACTTCAATTTATTATGAGAAACTACAGTGTCAGTAAATTACTTTCATTGACCTTTTTCATTTTTGTCTTTTTTAAAAACTTTCTTATGGAGCCGGCCTGTGGCTCACTTGGTAGAGTGTGGTGCTGATAACACCAAGGCCCCGGGTTCAGATCCCATATAGGGATGGCCGGTTTGCTCATTGGGTGAGCGTGGTGCTGACAACACCAAGTCAAGGGTTAAGATCCCCTTACCAGTCATCTTTTTAAAAAAAAAAAAAACTTTCTCATGACTTCCATTTACTTAACTTTAAATATAATCAATAGACCAAAAGAAGCTGAAAGGGAAGTTTGAGAGAGCCCAGAATGAGAATTCATTACCAACATGTACCAGATTTCTTAGAAGTTTTAAAATGATTCCTAATTCATGTTTGTTAGGAAAAGTCAGCAGCAAAACTGTTCAAAAGAATAGGAATCTCCTGTAGTTCTGTGACCCGTTCCTGATAAAATTTTGTTTTAAATTCTTCCAAACCCTTTCTTCCATTTCTTCTCAAAAACTAAACTGAGATTTTTATTATACATATATAAATGTTCTAATTTTTGTAATTTCATCATCATATGTTTGTTATAGTTCACGCTTACAAACCCTTAAGAACTCCTGCCTTGAAGTTTTGGAGGCCTTGTACCCACTGGTGGGCGGGGTCATAATGAGAAGATCATTGTGTACCATCCTTACTATCAGGGAGTGCCAGAGCCTTGAAAGCACATAAATTTGTTTCTTTTTATATCTGAATAAGTTATTTGGGCAGTTCTATATAAGTCTTTGTGTTTTTAGTGTTCTGTTGTTGCCTTAATTTAGGATCTGAATCATTAATAAAAAAAAAAAAATTCACTAAAATTGCAAAATATGACTTTGATCAAAATATTTCATGCCTTTTGGTCTGGAGAACCACTCATTTCTGCAGAACAAATTCAAATAAAACTAAATTTTACTCTGTATTACATAGAAGTTTTTTTTTGTTTTTGTTTTTTTTAGGAGACTGGCTGGTATAGGGATCCAAACCCTTGACCTTGGTGTTACAAGGTAGCACTCTAAGTGAGCTAACCAGCCGGCCCCATATAGAGTATTTTAAATTGTACTGCTATATGTTTGCATTGAGACCTAGTAATTTCAAGCATTTACTGAGATGATTTTTTTTAATTGATTATTATTCTTTGTGGTGGTGTAAATTAGGAATAATGCAAGATATCTTTGGAAAAGAATACCTCCTGCTATAAAATCTGTAAGTATTCTTTTAATACATTTACTGCTTTAATATAATAATGACATTCACTTACATGGCAACCTCTTAAAAGTTTCTGTTTTCTTTTCCATGTCACAGAAATAGTCATTACAGTAGTATTAAAGTTTAAAAATAGATCTTTGAATTCCTTTAGTCTGAAGTTTGAATTTCTTTGGGATGGTATAGAAATGTGTGCTCAGCTCCTACAATCAGGTTTCTCAAGACATTTTTAAAAAGTGTAGCTTCACCAGTTACACAGCTGAGCTAATTTAGGTGAAGGAGGGTGGTGGCAGTAGCCGTGGTGGTGGGTATTTTCATCTGATTAATGCAGTTTCCTATAATGGTACTTATTTTGAAACTGGTGTTCTTTACAAGAATATTCTAAAAATGATTATTCACAGCATTATTATTATTTTTGCTAATTAGGATTTTAGATTTCTTATTTTGGTTGGGAGATTAAATGAAATAACCTGTAAAAAGTTTCTTCCAAAGTGGAATGAATTGAGTTTTTAATTTGAAGTGATTCACCGTGTTTACCGTGTGAAGTGAATTTTTAAACATTCTCAGAATATTAACAAGAATTCACCTAAAGTCTTGTTCATTGTTGATATTAAGCAGGAGATCCTTTCCTAGACATTCTGTTAAGTAAGATTAGAATGTTCCTCAGCTTCTTTGGTTAAAGAACTATAAGTTATACCCATAGTTTCAATAATAGTAGAAACTCTAACGTTCGAGAGGCCGTGGTATATGACATCTTAGATTGATAGTCTATATTATTAACCATATTACTGTTACCTTTGTGCTAAATATATATATATATTTACATTATATATATATAATGTAAATTTGAAACATAAATATAACATCTTTAAAAACAGCAATGCTTAAGGCAATTAGTCTCCAGGCTTAATTCTGAAATATTTTTGATCTACTTTCTCATACCTTAATTTGCTATTGTAATAAATATTTATATCAAATGTACAAATAAATTTGACATTGCTGTTCACAGTGTTTAAAACCTTTTCGATAGTGATTGGAGTGAAAAAGTAATTGGATCTCTTAAAAGAAATGTTGAATTATGTTTTTAATGATACAGCTAACAAGTTTTAATGATTCATTTCTGGTATTTTGTTTTAAGATACATACAGTCATTGGTAAATTTGCAGAGTAAATACCCTCAAAGGCAGTAATATTTATTGCAGGCAAATTCTGAACTTGGGGGAATTTGGTCAGTAGGACAAAGAATCTGGCAGAGAGATTTCCCTGGGATTTATACAACCATCAATGCTCACCAGTGGTCTGAGACGGTCCAGCCAATCATGGAAGCATTGAGAGGTAATGTGTTTTTGTGTTTAAAATTAAATTAGACTAGACCTGTTCCCTAAGTGCTGCAATGTCGAAGTCAGTCAGTGGTTTGTTAATAGTAGATATTTTGTGATAGGTGAATGGGGCACTTTTCAGAATTCTTTTTTTAGATTTGTTCTAATCATGCTTCTTTATTTTATGTTGCTTGAGACTGTATTCGCAGCTAGGGGCTTCATTGTCTCCTAACTTAATTCTAGACTGAAATTGGTCTTGTCAGTGAAAGGGTTTTTTGTTTTGTTTTGTTTTGTTTTTTGCTGTTAAAATGAAATCTTGTAGTTCAAGGTATGGGCTGGCAAAGATTTTTTTAAATCCGTGTATTTGAAAATAGAGATTGTGCTTTGGACTCTGTCAGCATTGGCCTTTGATAAGTGTCTCCAGCTTCTGGATTTTATAACTAATCCATTCAATATGTAGATGCTCAAATGTGTTTTTAATTGCTTTGAATGATTACAAACCTGGTGTGACATAGCACTGATCCCACAGTAAAATCTTGTCACCGACCTCTCCCTATTCTTCCACCTGTTATTTGTGTACATTCTTCCTGGTTCATTCTTTTATAAACTCATATAGTGATCTTTTTTTGATGTTACATTCTTATTTTTTATTGTAACCCTATCTCTGTAGTCAATACCTGCCTTCACTGTATACCTTCGTGCTCTGGAGGAGCCAGTGAGCAGGAATTTTTTAATATCTACTCATCACTCTGGTAAGGGATATCAGCTTTACAGGGTAGCAGATGGTAAAGGTTGTTTTCAAGATGTGCGTAATTGCTTTGAAATAGTAAAACTATATCACCATAAAACAAAACAGTGTAAATGGCAAAACAGGAAGCGACTGCTTTAAGTGTGAAATAAATGAGGGACGTGAGGGCAGGGAGGTGGGTGGGGAGGGAGGGCGTGGGATAAAGCTGCACAGGTGTGCGAGGGGCAGTTCTGGAAATTAGCGTGGGAAACAGGCTTAACTTCCTCATATCAGCCCTGATGAATTAGTAGCGTAGTGGACTTTTTTTTTTTTTTTTTTTTTTTTTTCCGTGTCCGGCAATGGTTCGCAACCCTCAGTGTCGCGCCCGTACCGGACCAGGACCGGCAACGGGATCGCAACCCTCGGCGTTGCCCCTGCGCC